TTGCTAATTCAGTGATTCCCAGTTTGTGCTGTATTGATGTGATGTGTTCAGCGTGTTTGCAGGTATCTTTCTTGAGGTTGTGCAAAAATCCACGTACTTAAAAAATAAGTCAATGTTCTAGCAACTTCAGTTTTTGGAACAGATACACTACAAAATTTGAATGTAAACCCATATAGTTTTGAATTTAGGAGTAAGTAGAAAGTTTTTGAGCAGAAAATAGCTGTAGAAAAAATTTATTTAATTTGAAATTAAGTTACTGACTCCACACCCAGTCTTTCTTCAGTCAGTTTCTTATAAATTAAAGCAATATGAAATAAACATAATTTAATGTTACTCAAACAGCCCTATGTATTATAATAGCCCCAAGGCATCACTGTAAAAAATGGCATTTATATAAATTTGCATGAGTTGTTGAGAAACCATAACTAATTTTCCACATATTCTACTAAAGAAAACAGGAAGTACATAATATGTTTTCGGTCATAAAACATGTCTTGATAGTTTGACATGTTGTAAGGGATTAGATACCAAAAAAATATATTTTTTAAGCCTTTTAAAATGAGATGGCAAAAAAGTAAGAAATTCTCAGAACCCCAGGTGAAATGAGACCAGAAACGTGGGAAGGAAGCAAGGATCAAAATTGGCTTTCATCTGAAGAGGTTCTGCCAAATCCTAGAGGCACTGAGCTTCAGTGTTGATAACTAAGTCAGCTATGGAAAAAGCCTAGAGCTGTCCAAGGTAAATAAGCTAATAGGAGACCCCTAAATAAAGCTGGCAACGAAAGGAATATGTATGATGTCAGCAAGAAAATGGTATCTTGGGAGAATTTGTAACTAACTACACGTTGGCCCTCACATGGATTAATGTTCATGCTATTCATGTGGTCTGAAAAACCTGGAAACAAGAAATTAAAGTGTTTTTGTCAGTGATCGTAGGAAACCGGCAGAAGCAAATGTAAATATTCTTTGGAAAAACAAATGTTAACCCAGTTCTCAAAGAATTCAAAAGGATAAATGAGTAGTTCAAAGCTAACAGTCACAAAATACACATGAAACAAGGTGTTACATGTGAAAACCAACAGAAACAGAACTATATTGTACATTATTGTATATTAGATATAAAATACTTATGATTAAGAATAGATAAAGGAAGCGCTGTCTTAGATCAGTTTCTCTAGACACAGAGCTTGAGACAGGGACTTGGATGAGTATGTTTTGTTGGAGTGCTCACTAGCTGGTGAAGGAGACCTCGAGGGGCACCAGGAGATCCACTACTAATGTCTGAAAACATAAGCAAGGTCAAAAGCCATTTTAAAAAACCTAATTAAGCTTCTAGAAACTAAAAAATGTTTAAAATCTTTAATCGAGAATGCAGCCCAGAAATTCAAAGAAATATAAAATATGAAGAGGAATACATTCATGAGAGAGTGAAAAAGTCCAATATGCATCTTATTGGAGTTTCAAAAGGAAATAATGGAGAAGAGGTAGTATTTGAAGACATGATAACTTAGAATTTTCAGAACTTAAAAAAAAATGAATCCTCAGATCTTGGAAGCACAGCATATAAATAAAGGCCGGGTGCTGTGGCTCACGCCTGTAATCCTAGCACTCTGGGAGGCCGAGGCGGGCGGATTGTTTGAGCTCAGGAGTTCGAAACCAGCCTGAGCAAGAGCAAGACTCGTCTCTACTAAAAATAGAAGGAAATTAATCGGACAACTAAAAATATATAGAAAAAATTAGCCGCGCATAGTGGTGCATGCCTGTAGTCCCAGCTACTTGGGAGGCTGAGGCAGTAGGATTGCTTGAGCCCAGGGGTTTGAGGTTGCTGTGAGCTAGGCTGATGCCACGGCACTCTAGCCCAGGCAAAAGGGTGAGACTCTGTCTCAAAAATAAATAAATCAATAAATAAAAAATAAATACAGTAATAACCATATAGACGTATCATAATAATACTGCAGATCATTAAAGGAACAGAGCTCTCAAAAGCAAAGGAGTAAGAAGTGGCTGAATGCTTAATAGCAACAATGGCATCCAAAAGACAATGATTTAGTATTTTCTATTCCCTGAGAGAAAAGAGATATCAACGTAAAATTCTATGACTAGAGAAACAATTTTTTAGGAATGAGAAAAAAAAGAGTATTTTTTTCCCCAAGGACTAATAGAATTTACCACTAAAACATCCTCATTAAAAATAAATTCTAATAAATTCTAAATGTATTTCATCCATAGATAATATCTGAACTATAGGGAAAAATGGTGAGCAAAGATTTGAGTGTGTGTGTGTGTGTGTGTGTGTGTGTGTGTGATGGAAGGAAGCTAGACCAAAAACTCTATCCTGAATAACAATAATGCCTAAGTAAAGAAGTAGCTGTTTGACGTTAATGCATTCAAATTTCTTCAACTGGTCTGGATGAAGGTAAAAAAAAAAAAAAATGATTAAATTTAAACTCCATCATGTATGCATCTTAAAATAGCCAGGGTGATTATTAAAATAACAGAGAAAAAGTGTATAACTTTCACAAAAGTAGAAGGAAAAGACAGATTGAACACTCCCACACACATCCCTCAATCCAAAAGAAGAAAAACAGAGGAAAAGAAATAAAAGTCCTAAGAATTAAAAAGAAAATGAAAACTGTGCATATATTTGCAGATAATGATTTCCTACATAAAAAAATCCTTTCTAGCTAAATGATTAAAATGAGAGATTTTAGAATATAAAAAAATCAAAATCAATGTCATGTCAATTGCATGTCTATATAGTGCTATCGGTTAAACATTAAATTTTACAGAAAATAATATGTGGGTAGCAATAAGATTACTAAGTAGTTAGGAATATATCAAGCTACAAATGTGCAGTTCCATAATGAAGAAAATAAAACTTTTTGAAAAACATTAAATAAGTCATAAATAAATGGAGATAAATGTCATAGTCTAGAAGGCTCTATGCTGAAATGAGTCAATGCTTCCAAAACTGATCTAAAATTTAATTGCAATTCAATTGAAATCCAACCATGGGTTTTATGGAACACAATAGATTTATTCTAAATTTACTTAGATGTATTATAAAAAATAAAGGGGCCTGGGATGATCAGGACAAGCCTAATAAAAAGAAGCTGAGAGATTTAACCTAGCAGATGCCAGGCCCCATTATAGTGTATATATATATATATATATATGTAGTTATAGTATTAATAATTAAGACAGGGTGGTATTGATGAAAGAATAAACAAATTAGTCAATGGGAAAGTACTGATAGCCCAGAAAGAAACTTAAAATAAGGGAACGATAAAATATAATTCAGTGGTTATGTCTGAATTTGGCAAGGGAGCAGAATACAAGCTAAAGAGTTACTCACGCTCTGTTCCTTAACCTGGGTGATGAGTACAAATTTGTACATAAATTTGATAAACTTTTAATGTGATTAGCATGAAATATTTTAAAGCCTAAACTTAGAAGCACCTTCAAAAACTTTTCCTCACTCAACCATCCCTCAGGGTTTTTTGCTCATAGTCTCATCTATTTGTCTTTCATAGAAGTTATGATTTGTAGTTATATATTTACATGTTTAATATGTGTTTCTCCTACAGAGTAAGCTCCATGTTCCATGAGAACTGAAAACACATCTGTTTTGTTTACCACCGTGAGGTTCAAAAGTGATTCCTTCTATATGAAGCCATATATGGTTGAGTTTTAAGGTTTTGAGAACTCTTCCATCTATGAAGATGAGTGTCAGTGGGAAGCTTTATTAAAGCAATTATGTAACCACTCAATTAAGCAAGATACCACATAAGTACCACAGCACAATACATAGTGAATGATAAGTACTTGATAAATATCAGTAGCTGCTGGTGATGGTAGGTGTTGATGTCAGAGTTCCACATTTTACTATTTAGGTCTACCATCCAAAGAGGTTGTCTAAGTTAGTTTAATTCATTCAAATTTATTTAATCAGGAGCAGTAATTATGTCATAGTCGCTCTTTCTTGCTGGCTATGTATATAAATGTAGACTATCCTGCCAATTCATAAATAGCGGGTGTGGTATCAACAACTGAAAACCAGTGAAGTCCAACAGGGCTGAGTGTAACTTTAGTTTTCATAGTGGATAAGCAAGGTGCACAGATTTGACATAAAGAGGTCCAAGGATAAAAGCATTCATTTCCTAGTTCTAATCTTCAAAAAATATCTTGGGATGATTTATTCACTACTTTTGGAGAAAGAGTAAATCTAAGCTCTTATCTCAAGGGAAGTTACCATTAAAAAAACAAGAGATTATGATAACATTAAGAACATTCTTGAAAGTGTGGATCAGGTCGCAAGAGTGAGTGAGGAAATCAATTTAATGAGTTTCAACCAACATTTCTTATAATGAGATAAAATAGAATAATAAATATCAGAGCACAGGCAAATAATTTAGAAAGCTTTTACTTTTGCTAAAGTACCATTTTTTTAAATCAAATATAAGATGGTACCTATTCATTATGACAAGCATGCTAATTTCAGAGATGGTAATGTGAGAGAATGCCAACCGTGATTGTAAGAAGCTATTGATCGAAAATTGAAAGATGTCATCTTTCAAAGTTGTTAAAATATGACAAAAATATCTTAGAATTAATAAAATTTGGCATATACATACATAAACACCGGTCTCTGATATTAGAGACCAAGAGTCTCTAGACCGACATTAGAGATCAGCAGTAATAATGTGGATTGTGGCCAAAAACATTTGAAAGCCACTGTGCCAGGAAATGTATTTTATTTTCCTTGGTAAGTTCAAACTAAAGTACTATTTTCAAAACTAACACAAGAATTCCACATACATTATGAATTTGTCAGTCAAATTATAAATTAAACCAACATAAAACCTTTTGATGACCATGAAATGTGACAGCTAATTGAGACTGTGTACATAATACTTGGACCAATATAGTCTTTGATCCCCCACACACCAAGAGACTAGACAGCCATGTGGACTCCTCAGGGCCACAGACTGAAAAATTATATCAGATTTTTCTGTAAAGTATATGATTTATTGCCAGTTACATACAGTCAATTTTGAAATACTTTCAATAATTAAAAAATGAATACCAGTAAAATAAGTACAGCACCTTTCAGTATAATTTGTCTAAATTATTCTAGAAAACACTGCTAATTTTTTGTTTCTGTAGAGTCAAGTACAGAATTGAGCAGATTGATAAATCTATAAACATCATGGAAAGAATTGTAGAGAGGAACTGGAGCCACTCGAATGCCACTTGGTTCCCGCTTGTCACACTGTGGGGACAAAGATAAATGAAGTCACAATAATGTTAGCATTATTCACACACTGAAAATCTACATTCAAGATGAACTTATGCAAAGCATTTATTCTGATTTCCTCAAAAATTAATAGGTAAGCAAATTGTTTTCATGTTAAGTAAAACATAGCGTTTTTATGTTATTTGAATCTTTCCTCTTCATAATAATTAAAATAATAATGGGTTGGTACATGAATATCCAAAGTACTTTCCTGAAGTCCACTCAGCAGTTAGCTTCTTTAAGCATCCAATAGATCATATAGGCAATTTTTCTGTGGGGAAATTCTGGAAGGACTGGAACCCTTGGACAAATTTAAATGAATGAGAACCTCACTGGGATCTGGAGAATTTTAGCAAATGATCCTTAAATTTAATTCTCTAATCTCTGACCTTGCGGGTAAGGAGTGGGTTACATCCCTGGGAATGCTGGTAGGTCCTGAAGTAGCACAATCTGACCTGGCCTGAAGATCACCATGGCTAACTTGAAGAAATATCCCCCATAGACTAGACAATATATTAACAGCATATGGTATATGTATGCCATCCCATTAAATTCCCAAAGCAATGCTTTGAGGTAAGTATTTTTACACCCGAAATGCAGATGGAAAAAAATCTCAAGCCAGTAGATCTTAATGAACTTTCCCAAGAGGACAGACAGAGCTTGGAAATGGCAGAGCTTGATCTGGAATCTTGATATTTTGACTTGTGTCCCTGGTGTTGGCGGTAACCACTCCTAAAGGTTTGGAGGTCCACATGAGTGGAACAGTGCTTAGATTACATTATCATGAGAAATACATATGTTATCAACTTTTTCCTCTGAAATTTCTCAGTTAACATTTATTACCAATGATTCTCCAAGAGATTAAGAAGGCTGCATAGGATCAAGGGTTAAAAAAAAATATATATACCTTGTAATGTTACCACTCATGAGAAGTGTCTATATATCCTTTTTGACTGAAGTCACAAGGTTGAAAATAACTTAGTTCTATCAAGCAATTAAACAAGACTGATTTCTTTTTCCCTTCACTAAATAGATATGCTCTTTAATTCCATTTATCCAATAAATATACATTGAAGTTTCCACTAGTGCAAACTAGTGAAAACATGTCCTGATCAATTATAAAATAATTATTTCCTGCCCAAACTGTTATAGAAAGGATGAATAAGTTACATAAAACTATTTCCTTTCACTAAAATTTGTGGTTCCTTCTCTTTTATCAGAAATGACAGATCTCTAGCCCTTCAGTTAGCCCGATGCTGACTGCTTCCTTGGCACTTAATTTATCCTTAACTGACTGATTGGTGTGAAATAACATGGAACACTGAATAAACCAAAAGATCCAATTTTTATCCCCAACATGCAGCCCATAAAGAAAAGCTGGGGAAAAGCAAGGGACATACTTACAACCACTCCTCTTTTTTCTAGTTCTTGGAAAACATTTTTCTTAGAATTAGAAAATGTTAGCGTCAGCTGGCAACCCCGATCCTCTACACGGGATGGCGTAATTATGTTCACCATTGGTTTCTTGGTGTCTCCTTTATCTTTGCTATAGTAATGCTTGATCAGGTATTCCAGATAACCAGTCAGCAAAATAGATTTTCTCCTCAATGCTTTCATAGTTGCCTGCTTAAAGATCTGCAGAATGAGAAACAATTGGATTAAATGTTTTATTCACTTACAAAGAAGCAAAAAGTAAGTGTAAATCATGCATAAAAAAGGAAATGTCCACTTTTTCCCAATAAACATCCCCTTTACATAATCTTTTTTGTAAAAGCATGTCCTCTTTTAAATGCTTTGCCATTAAAAACTGAAGGTGAAATTTCCATGACAGAAAAATTGTACAAGTATCACTTAAAGAATACTTGCAAAAGAAAATATTAAGTTAATATCACATACCTTCAGAGTTATTTTAAATGAACTGAGTAAGTAAAACTCACCTTAATAAATGCATTTAAATATCATAAAACTTAAGCTTTTTTCCCCAAAACTATTTTATAAAATCATATCCAGAAAGGCTTATTCTATTCTGATGTAAAGTTTGTGTGGTCCACAAAAAGTGCAATATGAGTGAAACACACACGCATACGTGGAAAGTGGTGTTACCAATATTATTTACAATTGTTTTACTGACTCCTACATCTCTCTCAGTTGAACAGTAAGAAAACAAGCAGTTAAATAATAAAGCTAAGTTTTCTCAGACAGGGAAACAAATAATATTAAAAAATACATTTATTATTACTGAAGCATTTGGTCCTTCCTTCCTTCCTTCCTTCCTTCCTTCCTTCCTTCCTTCCTTCCTTCCTTCCTTCCTTCCTCCTTTCTTTCCTCCTCCCTTCCTCCTTCCTTCCTCTTTCCTCTTTTTTTCCCCTTCTAAACTCTAGCACTGGTGTGAAAATACTGCCTTTGCTGCCTGAGGTGTCTTATATGAAGATGAGTGACAAGGGCACACAGTAACTGGTATTGGAACATTAGGGGTCAGAACAGATGTGCTTTTCTGGCTTATCTCTTAAGGTCAAGTAGAGTTTAAAAATACATCCTACGTATAAGAACTGAGTGAACTGCAAACAAAGCATGATGCACTGGCCTGCCACTTAATGTCCCCTTTCTGTATTATGAGCAAAAATATCAAGAGCAAAGATAGGGTCATTTGGTGGTACCAGACTTTATCAAGCCTGTGAAAGTATTTATTTTTGTATGTACACGTTGCCTGCGCGGGCAGGCATTCTAATAGGACTCAAACCATTCAGGCATAGATTTTCAGGAACTATGTTGTATGGAAGCTGTGGGTTTAGCCGAAGGAGAGAATGGGAGTTGCATTGAAGGTAACGGTATCTAAGGAAGAGAGGAGACTAAAAGGGTACTTGTCTGTCTCCCTCTTCAACCAGACCTCAGCCTGTGTCTGAAGCCTACAAAGATATCAGTTGCAAGTGGAGGCTGATATTTTTCTTTCATAAGCCACTGAGATCTCAGGTGCAAACAATACTGCTTCAGGACTCAGGTGACCTGAATTTACACAGAATTTGGTAGGAAGTATCTCCTCCTTTGCTTGTGTAAAACAAAAGGTAGGTAGACTTGGCACACTGAGGACTCAAGAGAAGCCAGCCAAGTTGTGGATCAGGGCCAAGAATCAACATTCTCGGAGGGCAGCGACAGGCAAGGCATGGGCCGCTGGTGGTTTGACTGTGAGGTTTAGAATAAAAAAATGATGGGAGGAATCTTTCCAAGATTCTCTCCAGAGATTAGTAATATTCTAGGAAATTCTAATGAATAAGTAATTTCTAGGAAATTTTATGGTTCTGCTATAGGTGGCATAATATGCAGGTAGAGGTGAAGTGTGATGAATTACTTTTAATTCGTCACATATTTTGGTTCATTTGCATCCATAAGTTAGTAAGACTTGGGGGAACATTACTTAAGTCTGTAATTTTTTAAAGGGGTTAGAGGGTCTTGCTCTTACAGATTTCTCTTATAATTAGAAACCAATTTGTTTTTTAGGACAAATAGTTTCAATTTTAATATACTGTGGAATGTTGTTACTCTTTGTTAATAAAATAACTTAAATATAAAACTATTTCCCACATTACGACCACACCCAGGGCAGCTGCATTTCAAGGGAATCCTAGATTCTTCTCTTGGGGGTAAAAGTCTCTTCTGAGGTCTCACATAAAAATATTAAGAGGGTCTAATAGCAGGAAAATAGAATAAATATCCTATTTTTGTATATCAATTTTATGCTTTCAATATTGAGAAAAAATAACTTTAAAATTAGAAAAAAATGAGAACTGTAGCTTGAAAACTATTCTGCTTATTAGAGAATTCTTGGCAGAGTTTTAATTACTTGGATTATTTTTTCTTGCTGAGTAAAATAAACACAAAGCTAGGAAAGTTAGATAAGATTAAATAGGAAAAATAAATATAGCATGATGTTTTCATTTGTCATATTTTTCTTTTAAATTCATAAAATTGGCTTCCTAATAACTTTGTGAGGAAACACATAGTGCATTTTTGTGTTCTGAGTCTTTTGACTCTCCCTGAATTTTAACTGAATGCTCTAATTTTGTATTTTGAAGCTATTTATCTTGTGATGAATTCTTATACCAAAAGGGTTTAAAAATTGTCTACCTATTGCTATATATAAATACGAACTTTCAAAATACAATATAAATGTATTATTTAATTTCAAATAAGTAATTGGAAGATTGAGGGGACTTCTGAAGTAATCTAGTCCAAACATCTTCATTTAAAAATCGAGGCAAATAAACTCAAGAGTAGCTGTTGCTTGTGTGAGGTCACTCTTAGTGTCCAGAGAGGGACCGAGTACTTACCTCCTGAGTCCCAGCCTCATGCTCCTTTCTCTTAATCCAGACTATTTAAGAAATTACTGTATAAATGATTAAGATCCAATAATATAATGAACAGTTTGAAACTGATTATAAGGTGCTATTTTTTAATATCAATCAATCGTATATTCATGCAATTATAAGCAAAGCTACATTAATATCTTTTTTAAAAATCGTTGCACTGAAAATCTGAGGTCTTACTTATGTGCAATTGATTCTCAAATATAGAATCTCTCCTCCAGTTGGTATTTGACTATGCAGAATATTTTTTGAAAGAAGAGACAATGACAGCAGTTTGATTCACACATTTATTTCTTTCATTTATTCAAACTTCAACTCCCTATCTCCTACAATGCGATGAACTATTTTAAAATGATAAGGTAAGTAATAACATGGTTAAATTCACTGATGCTTACTTACATGGCAAGCTCATAAGCGTCTAGAAAGTAGGACACTTAAATAGTTAGATACAGAATGGGAAGCAATTATTATAAATGCATTATTTTGTAATTTATAATGGGGGGGAAGAATTTTGAAAAAACACTTTGACCTACATAAGGCTTGATTAACTAAAGATTTGTTTAGAATACAGCCTCCGTAGTCAATGACTTCAGTAAGGGGCTCTAGAGAAATACTTAGGTGATAAGCTCCAGAGAAGTGTATACCCTTTTTCTCATGGCTTTTAGGGTCCTTTTGCTGGGTTTAAATTTAGACACTAAAGGGAAAAAAATAAATGACTCCTCAGATTGTAAATGAAAAATAAAAACTTTGTCTAGATGACTGTAATACAGTGCGGAAGGAAAATAAAGTGGTAGGAAAAATAAGAATCTGCCTCCTTTTCCACAGCGAAAGGGTGAATACTGGAAGAAAAGCCAGCCAGCCCGCTGCAGAGAGCATACCAAAATGAGAGTGCCTAAAAGGAAATCTCTAGATACGTCTGAGAAGTCACTTGCGAAGATACAGTAAATCAGAGGAAATTTCTTCAAGTACTAGCTCTTCCATAGATAGGTATGTCTTAGTGCTTTTCATATTGTAATTCATCTTATCCCTGATATAAAACTTGCAAAGAAAGCAGGAACTTTGTTTTGTTTTAAAAACAAAATGTTTCTCTGAATGGATAGCATAAAAACAACTCAAATATCATCATCTGATTTACTAAGCATATTTTTGCTTAAAAACAATTTTCAAAAAAGGTATCACTGGCTGAAAAATCTCGTTACTGGGTCTATTTTCCAAGTTAAAAAAAAAAAAAATTCTGCCAAGTGAAAACAGCACAAGCTCCATCTAGTGGTCAAACTGAGTAGGTGCTCTTTAAATCTGGATGGAATGAAATGAGAATACTATCACTATCCGGTGGTGAAGTTGCGTAAAAACAGAGGAACTTGACACTGCCATCCAGTGGCCAGAATGAGAAACTGCTATAATTGTTCACAGAATTCTAGAACTAGAATTTGGAAGGAAGTTTGAAAGTCTTTATCCAGTCACTCATTTGATGCTGGAATCCTGTACAACAGAATTTCCTGAAGTATCATAAACTAGATGATTTGAGCAAGAATTAAAGAAAAAAATTGAAAATTCGTATAGCCTCTGTTAGAAATATATATGTATATGTACTTAAAATATATTTTACTTAAATATATGTATATAAAATATATATTGACTTAATATGCATGTTAATATTATTATTAACTATACAGTATATAATTATTAAGCAATATATTTACTTGAATAAATTTAGTCCAACTCTAACAATATTTAAGGAATCAGTTTATTTTCTAGATATGTATATCTATCTATCTATTGTATATAAACTAACTGATTTTATGGATATTAATTTCAGGGTGAGACTAAATTTAAGTAAAAATGTGAACACATTTAAAGGAAAATATTGAGTTAGTAATTGTAGAAATTATATATGGACATAAAGGCATAGAAGCCTTAGTAAAAAACAAAACACCCGCCCTACATCATGAGGCAACCTTACTCAATCTTTGTTTTACTCTGATTAGTCATAGTTTTTTTTTCTTCTTAAAATAAGTCTTCCTGTGCTTTGTCACATAGCACTTTGTCAGTTCATTGACTCACACCGAGCTAGACGAAACAGAGTCTCCAGTAATCACAACATCTGGCACATAATACTTTCTCAATAAATTCATGTTGAACGAGTGGATTAATGAAGAACAAAATATTGCATGTTTAGTTAGTGTATAGAGAGATCAAAAGAAGGTTAAGCAACTTATTCAAGTTTACACAGATTCTAAGTGGAACAAAACCTGTGTTTCCCCCTGAGTTCCATTTAATATCTACTATGTGTCAACAATGCACCTAGCATGTGCTAGGGGTGGTGATACAAATAAAAGGACACAATCACCACACAGGTACTTTCCTAAAGGAGAATGCTGCCTTTTGTCCATTGTTCATGCACAGCACACATTTATAATTATGCTTTATAATTTCTGCTAAAAAAAAGCAGAAAAAGTACTACAAATTGTCACAGTCAGTTCAAAAGAAAGATAAAGATGGGGGAAGTTTAAAACATAGGTCACTTACCTCTAAACTAGCTTGTAAGGAACAAACCAACAAAATGGGAGGATTTGAGATTCGGAATCCGCTGACCCCAGGGATTAACTGCAGCTCTGAAAAATTAATATCATGTCATTTTATACAGGATGTACCTTAAAAAGTGTCTATAAAGACAGTAAAGTGGTAGAGAGTAAAGGAGTAAAACTTAAACTTTTATTCCTAGGTAGGATTTCTGAGATATTTAAGAGAAACTCAATGGAGCCACGAGAACCTTTAGACACAAGATAAAAATTACCTCTTCCGGAAGTTTTTCTGGACCCAATCCCCTGCCTTCCCATTCCCAAGGCACCATTCCTTGTGTTGCCCATGCTTTGCTTTTCTATTATGAAACCATGTCAATGAGAAAGAACATCAAAATTTGAATGATATATAATTGTAATGTCACCTAAAGGCAGAAAAATATGAATGAAATGACCTGTGAAGGTGACTTTTTGCTCTAGGATCATTAGATCAAGTGGCTTCTCTTAGGAAAAGTATGGGAGGGAGCTTTAAAAAAAGATCTGCCTAAGTATGGTCTGTAAAATAGGTAAATTAATAGCAGATACTATCCCAATAACAATTAAGTAGATTGAATTGTAACAAGTTTAATTCAATAGGATTAAGATGTCTAGCTCCAGATCAAGTTAAAGCTAAGATCGACCAAAAGAATGTTAAAACATTATGGCTCACGCCTGTAATCCTAGCACTCTGGGAGTCCGAGGCGGGCGGATCGTTTGAGCTCAGGAGTTCGAGACCAGCCTGAGCAAGAGCGACCCCGTCTCTACTAAAAATAGAAAGAAATTAATTGGACAACTAAAACTATATATAAAAAATTAGCTGGGCATGGTGGCGCATGCCTGTAGTCCCAGCTACTTGGGAGGCTGAGGCAAGAGGATTGCTTGAGCCCAGGAGTTTGAGGTTGCTGTGAGCTAGCATGACGCCACGGCACTCACCCCAGGCAAGAGAGTGAGACTCTGTCTCAAAAACAAAAAACAAAAAACCAAAACATTATGGCTTTCATTGGATCCAGGACTTGACAAACTATGGCCTATGGGCCAAATTTGACCCAGTACCTGTTTTTTAAAATACAGTTTTATTGGAACATAGCCACAATTATTCATTTGTGTGTCATCTGTGGCTGCTTTAGCACAGCAATGAGAGTTGAGTATTTGCCACAGGGACTGTGTAGCCTAAAAGGCTTAAAACATTTTCTGTCTCCTCCTTCATAGAAAAGTTTGCCTACCCCGATCTAATTTAATTCCTTTATTTACAGATAAGAAAATCTATCTCAAAGGATTTAACTAACTTACATAATAACAGAGCTGATTACTTCAACAGACAAGATAAAATACAGGTTTCCTGATTTGACAGGAATAGCCTATTTTGTAATTTGAATGTTGTAAATCCAAATACAGATGGCTCTCCATGTACAGTGGTTGGACTTAAAAATTTTTCAACTTTACGGTGATGGGAAAGTGATTCGCACTCAGTAGAAACCATACTTCAAGTACCCATACAACCATTCTGTTTTTCACTTTCAGTCCAGTAGTCAGTAAATTACTTGAGATATTGGACACCTTATTATAAAATAGGCTTTATGTTAGACGATTTTGCCCATCTGTAGGCTAATGCAAGTGTTCTGAGTATGTCTAAGATAGACTAGGCTAAGCTATGGTGACCATCAGGTTAGGTGTATTAAGTGCATTTTTCACTTACGATATTTTCAATTTACAACGGATTTATTGAGACATAACTACATCGTAAGTGGAGGAGCATCTGCATATATAAAACGTTATCTTGGGGTTTGAAGGAATCTGAAGGATCAAGTTGAATTCTCAAAACACCTGTGATGCTTTCTATATCCCATGTAATTGAGAAATAGAATCACTCAGGAAAAAAAGCAGTGCAGTTTGTGAGTCCTATGTATGGTATAGTTTCGCTTCTACCCATTAACGTTTAACTGCTCATTGAGATTGCTACACTCTTTGTATGTGGCAAAAGCCACAAAAGGAGGTTATTTACGAAAAAAAGAGGCATAAAATGAATATTTATTAAAGTACTGCTATGGTGCTGCTGGTTTGTAGTTTTGAACTTGACAAACCCTTAAACCAAACACTTAAATAGGTGTTATTATTCATATTAGATATGTGGAAAAGAAAAACAATGATCCAAGATGGTATAACTTGTGCAAGATCACAAAACTATTAAGCAACAAAATGAGACTAACACCCAAGTCTCTCCAGATCTGATCTCAAACCCCAAATTCCCTCCTGTCCTCACTGCCCGATGTTTTGGGCACACCATATTGATGGGATCTGACCAAGCCACATGTATTGTGTGTTAGACTTTATTTCCTTTTATCTCCCTACAAAGGAATACACTCGAACTCATGCTAAAATCTATAAACATGTAGTCTTACACTCTGGAAATGTCATTTCTTATTTTAAGAATTCTCAGTGGCATTTTCAAAGTGCACTTTCCATGGGGCATGTATATTACATATACTACAAAGACAGATGAAAACTGAAATGCAGTTAAAATAAAATGACTTAGGAGGTAAAATTGAATACACTTACTGTTATCCATTTTAAATCTTGTGCTGAGTTCATGGCCAAACCATCCCACTAACCTAAAATATAGATAGCAACATTAGATATTAAATTTTGATCTCCAAAAATAACCATAGTTAATTTAGGGATTTGGAGTCTGAAATTGTCATATATCAAATACTTAAGCAGATAAATGCTATATGATATCATAAGGCAATGAATATTTATAATATTGACAATAATGAGGGTAAAATCAATTTATCCGTATTGTAACACAGGTAAGGGCCTCAAAAAGGGCAAAATGTATTACGAGTTGTCTTTTTAACTGCCCCCCCCCCAACTCTTTTCGGGAATTAAAACCTGCATTCCTGCCTGAGGAGAGTAATCAGAAGAGCAGAGGAATGTTCTTTGTTTTCTTTTATCTCTGTACCACAGGAGATGGCTCAATGGAATTGTCCAGGCAGAGGTCACGAGATTGTCTTCACAGAAGATGCTATATAGTTAAACAGCAATAGCCCAAACTTGAAAACTCCCTTTTAAAAGCTCTGTATTTCTGCTTAAAGGGAGGATGATGGCCCTAAAGGGCCATCTTAAAAGATGAGATTCTGCCATCCTCCTCATTTGCAGGCAAATTAATAAACTTCACTTTCTTTTCCTCAAAACGCTTGTCCTCATTCTTTGTTGCGCCACGGAGAGAAGTACCGAACTTTTGGAAACAATATTATTAGTTATTACAATATTTTATTTTTGTGTAGTAAAATCATCTGATGAGTAATAGTTAATGACTTTTTTCCTCATTTAAAAGAAAACAAAATGAACAAAAAATGTTAAGGAGCTTTTTTTTTTAAATTTTAAAATAAAATTAAGAGCTGAAAAGGGTAAAACAATTAATGCAAAACTATTTTCACAATAGAATCTCTAAAGAGATATGGTAGCAAAAAATGCCCTATATAATTGTGGAAAAGGGTAAAACAATTAATGCAAAACTATTTTCACAATAGAATCTCTAAAGAGATATGATAGCAAAAAATGCCCTATATAATAGTGGAAAAATTTTCAATAATTTCCTAAAGAAACAGGTTGCTTTTATATTGTTAATAAGAATGTGAATTAATCCAATATAAAATACAAAATACATAGAAAAAAGTCATATGCATGTGTGCTCATATTACACGAAAAAACCTACAAAATAGAGAAAAATACAAAAAGTTTAGAAAAAGATAAATAGTGTTCCTGATAATCAATTCTCCCTAAGTAATAATTTAGTTTTAATGATGCCAAAATAAAAATTCCAAAGCTCTCTTTTTTTTTGGAACATGCCAAAATATATTTTTAAGTTTATATAGAATATATAGGTGAACATTATAAATTTTGAAATTGAAAATTATATAGGAGTATATTATTTTGTAATTATATCTTGCAAGCTTTACAAGATAATATAACATATTATGAAATTCAGTAAGTAAACAAGCCTAGTACTGGTAAAGAAGCATCAGGAAGACAAATGAAACATGATAGAATATACAGAAACAGTACTCAGATCATTTAACAATTTAATAAGCAATAATTGTAACATTTCAAAAATGAAAAAATATTTGTATATATGTATGATTTTGAAAAAGAGAAATTTCTTTCTAAGTATAAAAACAAAAGAAGAAAATATAAAGGAACATACTAATAGATTCATAATCATTTAAAATTCTATATTAAAAAGACAGACAAAAGTACAAAGCAAATCAAAGATGAAGAAGAGGAGTGATACTTGCCACATGTTAAAGAGTTTTTTCATAGAAAAAGAGCAACACACCAAGAGCTACACAGCCATAGAGCAT